AGGCTAACGTTAGCAGTGCTAACTTTAACCTTCACTCTCTGCAGGCTGGTGTCCACATGCCTCTCACACAGCCACTCATTTCCTACTTCAAAGTATTGCAGTGGTTTATGGTTCATGTCTGACCCTTCACATCGTACCATACCAGAGAGGAAGAGGCTCTGCTGGTCGTTAGAGTCGCAGCTTTTGCCAACTGCTGACACACATCGATAAAGTAGGAACAATCTGTTTAACCGACTAACAAAGCAGCGACCTTAGACTCGATTAGTCGCACACGTCTAACATTAATCTGACTCGCTTCACATCTGAGTCCCATTCACAGCTGCTTTTAATAAAGATTTTAATCTTAAGCTGCTACTGCCAACTGGTGTCCACAGCTTTCAGTCACAGTGTTTTAGAGTCAAAAAGGCGGCTTTGCTGACGTGGCCCTACGCCTCTGTTTGACCCACCTTTAATGAGCTCCGGTTTGTAGGTGCTCCTCATGTTCTCCAGGATGCTGTCGTAGAAAGGCTGAGCGAGTTCTGCGGGCATGGCCGAGTGGAAGTCCGGCTTGTTGCCCTTCAGGATGCACTGCAGGGTGAACTGGCTCACACACAGAACCTCAAAGTCTCGCTCCATGACACTTTTGCTCCACGCTCGGCCGTGCTCGTCCTCGAACAGCCTCAGGTTCAGGATCTTACGCACCCTGAAAACACAAAGATGAGACAGTAAGCAGCTTCTCTGTCCGTCTGCACAGAGCGATTACACTTTTGTATCTTATATTAATCTTTGTTTTTATTTATTTTACACTTTCTGTTTTCCATTCAATCAACAGTGACAATAGCCGTTTCAATAATTAATGACCTCATCGCTGCTAATGTTAATGTTATAGGCTCCATTCACTGGTGAGTGAGTAACCTCTTACAGACAGATCTGAGTGCATCAAGCACATAAACTTTTGCCTCACGTTCTGCTGTTTACGGATCAGAATCATTGAAGACATTTAATTTTTGCATAAATGTTTTATTATTTTGACTGTGTGCTTTTAGTTTATTTAGATTTCCCTTCTTTTTATGATGAAATTACAGTGTTTGAGATCTCAGGGTGTACTTTCTGCTTTCTGCACTCACATGTACTCAGCATCCCTCTGCGTGTCCTCCACAGATATGCCCAGCAGCACACACAGTCCACGTCCGATCGAGCTGATCTGCTCCTCGCCCACTGCAAGAAAGCACAACAAAATGAACACTGGCACAGAGATATCAGGCAACGCCGTGCCCACAGCGATCACAACCAACTTGAAGAAATCAGACAAAGGAGATTTTATGTTTTTACATCCTCAAAATTTTCAAGCTTCTATAAAAGCATTACAGGCAGCTTTGGACATGTGTGGATATTTGCAACTGCAGTGAATTTGTTTTTCAACTTGGATACTTGAAACTGATTTAAACCTAGCGGTAAACGCGCTCTACTTGACCGTCTGAGGGTCACTTTGGCCTTCTGCGCACTGAAGCAGCGAAATTATACCAACGCATGTCTCAGAATCCATTCAATGTAATCTCTCACACAGATAACCTAGAGAAGATATGTGCAAACATCAATTCTTGCCATTATTCAAACTGTAGAAACCATCAAATGTGTGTCTTTAATATTTGTTTCTTCAGCTTTTTGTTCATTTTACATGACAAAACGAGCCATGTCAGAGATGTCAGCATCTGAACAGAGACTCACACCAGCAGCCTGTTGCTTACTGGCCAGCTGCTCTAACCTCTG